CTACAGACTTTTTTTTTTTCACAATATCCACGAACATGTACATGTAGGATACTGTTCTACATGAAACAGGCACATGCTCTGCCAGGCCAATTTCAATTTGTTTGTGAGTCGACCAACAAACTACAACGAGCTAAGAAAAACCTGCAAATCACGGGAGATTTGGAACTGTTCACTGTACATGCACATATGGTACATTTAGCAATATTTCATAAAAGTAGAGAATTCTGCTGAAAAAATCATGTATTCTCACAATCCACCTCGAGCAGAAGCACCCCCTCATCAGTTGAAAAGAGCCGCATTGGTCAGGAGTATTCCTTTTGCTGGTAGCGATGCATCCTGCAACGCTTGCATTTCCTAGTCATTCATAAACCAGCAATGCGCATTTAATACCAAAGGAGCCTCCGTTGCCAAGGAAATAGTGCCCTCTCTTGGTCCAGCTCCAGGCCCACTCACACTGAAACCTTTATAACATCTCACAAACACACTCCTACAGGTATACATGTATATACATACATGTACATGTACCTCAGCACATTAAACCGGTGACTCATCACTGGGATTCATTTAACACTTCAACCATGTCAACAAGTATTCCGTCATTTAAAATGTGAAGTATATGGTTTTTACAATCATGAAATGAATCACACTCAGTAGGAAACATTAACCTTGCACACTTTGCAATATCTTAGGTATTTAGCAGTTTCCATTAGGATCCTACAACTTCCAAGCTTATCAGGGATGCCAACATTCTGACAAGCTTGCCACAAGAAACAACTGATGGATATGGATCATTTGTGTCAGGGTTTGGGTGATTTCAGTGAGCTATCAAAACCTGTTTCCAACACCAACAGTCCTGAAGGTTCTCATTACCGGTAATTTTCACAAGGTTTCAGAGATTGTCTGAAATCCTGCAAGGACTAGTCACCGTCAATGATCTCTTGACAGAAATACCGGGGAGTCACAACAATGCATATGTACAGTCAATCCTGAATCAACATCGGCAGTCTCAAATAGCGGCTTAACGTAAACCATATGCCGTCATCCCGGCTGCGTCTCTGGAGCGGAACAACAGGAACAGCAGCGCACAGGAGGGACCACAAAGAGAGAACGACGGGAGGGGGCAACAAAGCTCATGTCAAACACACCTGCTTCTCCACTCAACCGATGCCATCTGCTTCTGGTTTGCGAGGTGCTTTCAGATGCCTCGCAATGCACCAGGGCCGCGGCGCTGACTGAAAGGGCGTGGCAGCAGCCACGGGGACGCCGGGCGGCAGTCGTATCTTTCCTTGCCCTCGAGGTAATCTCTGGCAGCATCACCTTCCTTCATAAAGACAGACGGTTCCTCTCTAGCAGACTCTTGCAACACATCTTAAGGTATATCTTCCTTCCTTCCTTCCTCTCCCCCTCTTTCGAACAGAAAAAAAATACCGCACGCTTCACAACATCTACATATCAGAACACGCACAGTTACCCATGGGCATCCAGTCATCAAAATGCCCAATCTTGCCTCATAAATTTCCCTACACTTGACTACCATTACGATGAAACAAAGCAGACACCCCGGTCAAATGTCCATCTACATGAAAAATAAAAAGCCATCTAGACCCATGTGATTTATTTTCTCCACTAATCGATCAAGTGTAAAATTTCCAATTTCATACGTGATCCAGCTCAAAATCAAAATACAGTACCAAGGCACAAGGTCTTTCTGAAGTTTTTCAGGTTCCCAGAGGAAACAAAATCAAATTAGCTCCATTCAACTACAAAATCTGTTGAATCAAGATCCCTAGAAACTTACTGATTCTACAGTTGTGCAGCTGCCAGGAAAGGTGTACTTTTTTGGAAGCCCTAACCCTTACTATCAATTACGTTGGAAAAGATTTAAAGCATTTTAATCAATGCCACCTCCGAGCAGCAGCTATGTCGGAACTTCAACGACCCATAAATTTAGCGCAGATAATAGAAAGCAGCCTTGCTAACCCAGATTTCCAGTCAATTTAAAAGTAGAATCCTTCTACTGTAGGGAAGTGATAAGTCAAAAGTCCTGAGCCCACACCTCGTGTCACAGTGGCTGGAGTTTGCACCAACTGCACTCATTTGCAACACAAATCCATCATGAGTTTCTTGTATGTACCTGGTCTATTATGATCAAATGGGCAGCAAATACTTTGAAGTCTTGTTTTTTACTTTATTGACAAAATGTTGGAGTTAAGTCAGTCGGACATGCACATGTATTGTACATGTAGGTGATCTTTATGGTTCTGTATTTAATTCCTCTTTCCTTAGACAAGAGCCTCTGGCTAAGGACTACACTAGACCAAGATTAGAGGTGAGGTTGGCTTGAGCATTCTACAATTCACTTCCAGAATACTTGATAGAATTTTTCACTCCTACAGGGCTGAAGTTGATCTCATTATCAAAGATCTGGATACCAAATGCCACCTGGCTGTTGATCATTATTCCTGACAGACCTCAGGCGCACGTACATGAGGCCACAGCAAACGGACTACACCTGGACTTGACATTACAGGGCGCGCGCACACCGATCTGACTTTGTCAGTAAGCAGATCAAGGTTTGTTGACGGCTTGAGACTTGTTCATTTGCAACGTAAATATCAAAACAGAAGGTTTGAAGAAGCACTGGTTTTGGAGAGCTGTTCTGAAAAGAACCACACTGAAACAGGAAGCGGATGGTAGGCTTTTTTATTAGCTCTGGTTTGACACTCATTGGAGGTACATGAACATGTAGGACCACAGTTTGATGGTGTCAGGGCTACTGGTTGCTACAAAACTCATATTAAAAAATACCAGAGGTAGATAGAGTCAAATATGGTTCATTTTCAATTTTCAGACTGTCTGCCACTGCCGAGCATTATCGACCCTATACATGTACATGTACTAAATACCGAAATGATTGATGAAGTCTCTCCAGCCAATAGGGGGGACACTGATGGGATTCTTATCCTAAGACCAGCCAGCCCTCCGAGAGGCCCACTTATTGATGACACATGCCAAGCGCTATCTTGACTCGTCACCAAGAGCAAAGTTCCACTGTGACCGACTATATTTCTCACTACTTTTTACTTTTTGTCAGCTACAGGTCAAATCAATCAAATGGCGAGCAGGACAGAACAGCCCCTACGTGACATCTTCATTAATTGCTAGCACGCTGGTTGGAACCATTTTCTGAGAGCTTTGCAATTCCTGCCCCACCTTGGACTGCGTGATCCATCACCTCAACCAGGCTTTGCCCCCCTAGCTCGCAAGATACAAGTTTCATGCAGCACCCTAACATTTGAACGCCCCAGAAAATGTGCCGTGTTCCTTTCCGGGTTGGCATCTTAAATTTGAACCCACTCGGTGTACTGGCTGGGGTATATTTGACATCTCAATCTCAACAAGGAAAGGACAGTCAAGTATCACGCCTCCTCCAGTTGACAAGCTCCATACAGATGTTCACCTCTAGGCTGTTCCAGTAAAGAAAAAACTAGCCTGACTTTCACTGTTTCACTGATCTGCTCTGTGCTCTTTACATCACTGCAGAAAAAGCTGTCTGTCAAGTCACTAAGACTGACACAAGCCATCCACATCTAGAGAAATTCACTGCACGGGCAGCAGTGTAACCAGAAAAGGACAGGGTTGCAGATTGCAAAGGAATGGACATTTTAAAAACAAAATCGAGATGCTGATAAGAAGCAAAATAGGAAAAATTAACACAGTTTAAGAGTGCAGAATGTTGGTAGTGCATGCAAAATTCTTGACCATGGTTAGCAACTTCGGTGCTAAGTACACCATCTTATGCTTACAGAGGCACTGCATATTTCATGGAGACCGTAAGCGAAGCAGAAGGCCCGCTTATCTCAGAAAAAAAAATTTGCTTCACTTTGCAACGAAACAATGGGAATCTCTAAACACCCACAACTGTTGAATTGGATTGGATTTATTTGGAATTACCTAACAATTACATGTGGGTAATACCAGGGATAGCCCATGAAAGTTTTGCAACTCATTTTCTGTGGGGTCCTTGATGAGTTAGGAAGAAGGTCCAGTTTTAGAGGCAGGAGGAAACCAGAGTACCCGGAGAAAACCTGCGAGAGCGAGTATGGACTGGAAACCAAATGCACTTAAAACCTGGGCCAAGCGGGGACTCGAACCCGGGCCTCATTGGTGCAAAGCAAGGAAAGAACCGCTGCACTAACCTGCTCCCCATTAGTACAACTACACCACAAAACAGTGCTTAAGGTTGGCCAAGTTTTCTGCTGTAAGCACATCTTTTCCACTAACTGTTAAGCAATGTCATGAAATCAGGCCCTGGTTACATGCTTGTGTTTAGAGTCCACTACAAATGAAGGGGATTTCCAACCTAAAGCATCGTCCCCTTGGCCTGTTTCCATACAATAGCAGTATGTAAATCTTATCTCTTACATTGTATATTAGCCAGTGTGTTTTCTTGTGTGACTTTACAACGGGCATCGATTTCACTACAGGTTTTTTGCAACACTCACCACAAGAATGCAGCCTCAAGAATTCAAAGAAAGAATGTATCCTTAGTGAACCACACAATGCTAGATGTGGGCAGACTCCTAATTAACTCAGTGGTAATGAACATGATGATCACATGGTGATATGGGTTACCAACGTTATAAATCGGGCCAAATCACAGCCTACTATGGGGCACGTGCAAGCGCTGTTACGTTGTACTTTTTACAACATGTTGTTCAACACAAATGCACAACTTTGCAGCATGCACAACAGAAAGTGGCATGACTAACCCATCAAGATGGGAGACACTGCAGTGAATATGCAAACCATCAACTCATTTTGCAGCTGTTCTTACAAAAGAAAACTGAAGACGAGGACTACAGTTCACAAATCCCAAAACTAACTGCTCCAAAAGAGACGCACACAGCCCCTTGGGAATAGCCAGCATTCTTCTGTATGCCGGATTTCTCCACAATACATACCTTGTGGAATAAGTCACTCGATGGATGGGTTCTTACCTCAAAATTTGGGAGATGGAATCATAGAGACAATTGAGCACGCTGACAAGAATGAGTTCATTCTCCTGTGAACTGCCAATGACGTAGAAATACAAGTCCACGTTGCTCCGGTAGACACACGTCAGTCCTTCCAGCATTATGATTTCAGCTGCAGAAAGGCCAAACAGGGAAGCACAACCAAAAATGGGGAGGAATGAAGAGAATTGAAAACTCTATTTAAATTCAATGTGTACATCAGCAAGAGTGTTGTAATATCTCAATGTGTGATACCTCAGCAAAACATGGTTTGGAAAGAAACCTACAGAGTACCGAAGTGAATACGTCACGCGCACAATTAGCGTGTAAAAGGCATTAGCGCGAGAATCAGCAGGTGAACCAACACGCGCGCGTACTCCATTCGTTTGCACTGCACTTTCTGGTTCACAGTGATGTCACACTTCAGTATTCTATATATGAGTACAAAATGCCAAAAACTCAGCACTGCATCTTTTTGGTCATTATTTTCTGTGCTCCAACTTTGCACATTCAACTGTATGTCCTCTTGTGTATATCTACCTAAAGTGTTAAATTGAGAAGTATCCAATCTTTAAGAACAGAGCCAGGCATAATCATTGTTGGAATATCAACAGGCTTATTACATGTATCATTATCAATCTCTCAATCTTATAAAACAAGTCATGCTACATGTACTTGAACACGAACCTGAACTCTATACAAAAGTCACTCTCTCATTCAAAAGAAATTCACATTCTACCCATTTTCATAAAAAGCAAGTGTAAACTTTCTTCAACTAGCCCTGTCCCCGCTACGGTAGATGCAGCAGAATGTACCAGTGGCGAGAAGTTGTTGCATTAACTCAGTAGGGCTAAGACTGGTGTACATGTACATCCAGTGCACTGCACTGTGCTACAAAATCCGTGAGTGAATTTTGAAGCATTCTGTTGCATTCAGCGGAATTCTCATTTCAGCTGTGTTGCATTCTGTTGCATTCAGCAAGGTTTTCACTTCCGCTGTGATGCATTCTGCTGCATTCAGCAGGTTTCTCATTTCAGCTGTGTTGCATTCTGTTGCAGTTAGC